GCAATAAAAAGCTACCATAGGGCTATTGCTCACTCATGTTCCTGCCTGCTGATCACTTCTGGAAGGTCTGGAAAGGAGGGTGCTCTCTTCCTACAGGTACTGAGCGGAGAATGTCAGGTAGCCCTTATTTTCCTTTTGCACTAGCTTTGTATGATCCACAACGATTGTTCACATCCATCTGGATTAAACAGTCTTTTCTAGGGCTTTATGCATATTACAGATGGTTTCTGCAGCGGGAGGTGTTGAGACAGTGTGTAAGATATTTTCTGGGAATCAATACCTGTGAACAAAATGGAGGATTTGGTAAAGGAAGAAAATGAACTGTGAGGTGGGCTTCACAAACTTTCTTGAATCAGGTGGAAGCTCTGGGATGGTTGAAGACCATCAGAGCATCTGGTGTCAGACTGCATGATTTTGTCTTACTCAGTAGATAGGGACTGCCCCAGGAAGGGCATGGCCTTGAGTGAAGAGGCTCTGTGTGTCTGAGGCAGATTTGAACCATCTGACAGCTGAAAAGTGGATGCTTACTGCACTCTCCTCAGCTGGACAGCAAGTCCTTGCTTGGAGTAGGATTTGGGGGAAACACCTCTGTTCTAATGTGGAGGAGTTGATGGGAATCACAATATAAAACTACAAAATAAACATAACTGTTCAGAAGGAAAGCTCCAAAGACAAACCATTAGGGAGGTAGTTCCCAGGAGGACATGCTTTTATTCACATATTTTCCAATTTAGAAAAATGCAAATCCTTTGGATTGCACCAAAAATAACAGTGACAGTGGAGGCTATTATTCTGCCTTTTCTCCATTTTCACATCCATTTTGAACCTTAAAGTTTTGTTTTGTTTTTGGTCTTTTTGAGACAGGGTCTCCCTGTAGCCCCACCTGGCCTGGAACTTGCTATGTGGACCAGGCTGGCTTTGAACTCACAGATATCCTCCAGCCTCTGTCTCCTGAATGCTGGGACTAAAGGCCTGCACCACCAATCCCAGCTGAACTTTAAAGTTTTAATTATATCTTACGAAAAAAAACCCCTTATATTAAGAGGAAAAAGCCAGAGAAAGCAACAGGGCAAACACATTTGTAATCACTACTTAGATAACTCCCTACTGGCTAGCTTTCATAGTGTTGGAAGGTGCTATGTATACTACCAAGAGGAGAAAAATAATCATGTTTTACCGAGCTGTGAACCCTGAGAGCTACAAAAAAGGCTCACCTGCCAGGCATGGTGGCACATACCTTTAGTCCTAACCACTCAGGAGGCAGAGGCAGGTAGATCTCTGTGAGTTCAAGGCCAGGCTGGTCTACATAGTGAGTTCCAGGCCAGCTGGGGCTACAGGGAAACCCTGTCTCAAAAAAACCAACCCCCACCCCCAAATGGCTCACCTGGCAAGATATGCCCACTAGGGCAATAATGGCATGAATGTTATTGGAGTAACCAATTGCCTTCTGATTGGATTTAAGACCTACTGCAGGAGATGGAACCCATACCTGGCACTTTTATCAGGGCAGAGAACCTATGGCTAGCCAGGTCATGGGCCTTAGGGGAGAACCTGCTGTTAATAGTCTATTAAATGGACATAGTATTAAAATGACTCCTAGTGACTTATTTATTATACCCATAAATTACTCAGAGAAATTTCTTGCTGTAAAAGGCAATTATTGCAGAGACCCATAACTGGTCAGTGTATGGAGAATAAGAGATTCTGGAGTGTTTAGCCCTAAATGGGACATCTATATCACACTCCTCCATACAAAGCTCAGAGATCTTCTCAGAAGAGGGGACAAAAAGATTTTAAGAGCCAAAGATGACGGACAAGGAAACACGGCTTTTCAGATAGTGGGGCAGTTGTACATATGAACTCATACCAGTTGTGACAGCATGTATGAGACCTGCTCGTGCTCAATCCAGACAAAATTCCCAGAATGGAGAGGGGAGATGGGCATGAAATCCCAGCTCTGCCCAAGGAGCTATTGGGAGAGGATAGCTGCTGGGAGAGGAAGAGTCAGTTTTCTTTTAGGAGTGTGGCCCCTGTCAGGTCAACTACACCCCAGGGCTGGGAGCAGTCTCAAGAGTGTTTGGGCAGCATAAATTGAACTCCATGGGTGAAAAAAAGAGTATGAAGTGTGGATGGGTAGGGAGGTGGGGTTGATCTGGGACAAGGTGGGAGAAGGGGGAATATGATTAAAATATACTGTAAGAAATTTTCAAAGAATTAATGAAAATTGAAAAAAAGAGAAAGTAGTAGGGCAAACACACTTGTAAACACTATTTGATTACAAACACAGACTGCAATCTGTTTTTCATGAATTTGTAATTGGGCATGACATATAGGCATTACACACACAATAGCAACACTAATTATAATATTAATAACTTCTGTAATTACTTCTATTGTTGTGACTTTTGCTTTTCTTATTGCTGCTACCTGATGCTGTTAACATCGAAACACATATCATGTGCCAGACACATATCTTAATCAGGTCATTCTCACATGTGTTTGAGGTGGCATCATTTTATAGATGAAGACAATGAAACAGCGATGGTAAATTTATACAAGGTTGCATAACTAGTAAATAATGGAGGCCATATTCACAGCTAAGCAGTCTAACTTGTGAGTTTATATTCTTAACTACAATTGCAGGGTGGCTTCCCTTTCCTCTTTTTTTTTCTTCTTTTGAGACAGAGCCTTGCTGTGCAGTCTAGGATGGCCTCAGACTCAGAGTCCTCCTGCCTCTGCCTCCTGAGTTGCTGGGATGACAAACATGTACCACCATGTCCAGCGCCCTTCTCTTTTTGCTTCCTCTGTCCTTAGTAAGTCACTTGTGTGCAAAGCTCTGCTTCTTTGGAATCTAAGACAGTATCTTCCACACTGATAAATAATTGTGCTAAGTCTGGTTGATTAATATTTGGAATAGTCATAATTACTAATTGCCTAAAGACTTCAATAGTATGAAATGCATTTGAGCTATTGTTATAATCACATTTATTGAGGACTAACTGTATTATCAAATGTGATTTCCCCAAGAAGTCATATTTAATTTTCAAGTTAGTCAAAATCAGATGAAGCTATTTAAGCCTATCAGTATGTCCTAATAAAATGTTATTTCAACACAAAGGAGTAAGGAGAGGGAGAATAACATAACAACTTATACTTGCAGGTACTTATGCTCTGTGTTGCACAGTTCCAAATGTTTTTCATAGAGTAATTAATTTATTCCCTGATGGATCATGAGAAATCTATGATTTCACTGTTACGGTACCTGACAGTGATTGTGTGTCCACAGGCACTGTCACTACAGTGCACTAGTAGTTATGACTGTATTAGTCATCAGAACACACTTTCCTACCCTATCTTGTCAACTCATGCACTACAGTACTAGCATAGAGTGTTGAATGACTTTCTCAGACTTCACCAAAGTGTTTGAATAAAGAGAACTGCAATTTTAAGGGAAGGGTGAAAAAATTTACATGCTTTTCTCCAAAGTCCAAATGACAATCATCCCCAAATGTAAGGGCATCAACATTAGATACATCTCAACCCCTTGACTTTCTTGTATTCATATTCTCTTCTAAGAAAAAGATATTCCTTTCAAAACTTCTCAGTGCATGCTGAAGATGTAGCTGTTGGTAGAGTGCTTGCAACATGCATAAAGTGCTGGATTTGATCCAAACTGGCTCTGGTGGATCAAGAGATCAAGGTCATCCATGACTACACATTGAATTTGAGGTTAGCCTGGACTATATGCCTCAAAATACCAAAACAAACTAAAAATCTCAGTACAGTTTTCAATCTTAAGTAACCCACACATTTATATTTTTGAATTTAATGTTTTAATTATATATATTGATTGGGTTAATATGATGTTGAATCAGCATATAAACATATGAGCAAATTAACATAACCATCACATCACATACTAATCACTTTTAGGTATAAGAACATTTGAAATCCACTCCTTTAGCAGTTTCAAAATGTACATTATTAACTATCATTGCCAGAACTTATTATTCTCATTTATCTGAGATTTTCTTCCCTTTAACCAACATTTTCCTTTTCCCCTCAGCCTCTGATAACTGCCATTGTACTCTCTACTTCTCTAAATTCTAACTTTTAGAGTCCACTTGTGAGTAATGCACATCTAAGAGATCTGATGTTGCAGAGTTCATCGCTGTGGTAGCTGCTCACAGACAGCCTTTGTGATTCCTTTCCTGCTCTTCTTGGCCTCTCTGCCTTAACTGACAGCAATGTCCCTAAATTAATAGTGATAATATCTGTCATTATGTACTTAAAAAATTCAGAATCGTGGTTTAAAGTATGAATTGTCTTTTTAAAGTTTTTATTTTTATGTGTATGTGTGTTGCCTACATGTGCATAATAAGTGCACCTGTGTTGTTCAGTTCCTTCAGAGGTCAGAAGAGGACATCAGAGCCCCTGGAACTGGCATTACAGACTGTTGTTAGCTTCCATGTGGGTGCTGGGAATCGAGCCTGGGTCCTCTCCAAGAGCAGTCAGTGCTCTTAACTGCTGAGCCATTTCTCCAGTCCTGAATTAAGTCTTTTAAAAAGATTTTATCATATGTTCACATATTTTGGTATTTTTTTTTGTTTTATGTGTATAAGTGTTTTGCATATATATATGCATCATGTCATGCTTGATGCCCCTGGAGCCGGAAGAGGGTGCTGGGTCTCTGGGAGATGGAATTAGAGATGATTGTGAGCCTCCGTATGAGTGCTGGGAGCCAAACCTGGGTCCTTTGTAGGAGCAGCAAGTGTTCTTAATTGCTGGGCCATCCCTCTAGGCCTGGTAATTTGATTTTAACCTAGAGGGAATTGAGGTAGAGAGAATCGAAGACCTTTCATAGGAAATCATCAAGTTTTTGTACATTTCATTCTAAAAATGGAAATACTGGAGATTCTTGTAAAGAGGAAGTAATTTAGAATTACTTAGATACACTGACTTTTTGTGAGGTACTGGGGCTCTCTTGTGGTCATCGAATACTATTGTTCTTTCAAGTCTTTGAGCACATCCTCCTTTGTGATTGTGGCCCATGCAACAGGGATTTCACCTGTATCTGTAAATTTTTTCTGGTATTTTTCTTCTAGCTTTGATCTGAAATGTGAGACAAACCATTTCCAGTATGGCTGAGTGGATGAATCTGGGGTGATGCTCCATGAGGCATAATCCCCTCCCGCCTGGCGGTAGTTCTTATATGGAATTTCCTGGTTATTTCCCAAAAGCATAAAGCGGTCACTTGCTACTGAACTAGTACAGCAGTCAATGACAAAGTGTTCTGTCTTATGCTTATGCCATCCACTGACAGCCTGAGGACGGTGGAAGGGCACACTGTGGTCTCCTTCATGGGAAGGAATGGTGTTTGTACAAATTGCATTACAAAAGGGGCACTGTTTCCAACAGCCACAGAGGTGTTCAGATAGAATTTTCTCAATTTCAGGAACCATTTCATCTATGGGCATAACTGAACAGTTCTCTTCTACTTTCCTCATTGCGGGATCCAAAGCTGCACTCATGGCTTCCTTGAGAAACTCAATGTCCTTTATCTCCTGGTGCTCAATGCTTATTAAGTCTCTTCGTGGGAAGATCAAATTGCTCCCCAGGTGATCACAGAACAGATCTAACCACCCAGATGCAGTGCTGTTTTCATCTTTAGCTACTGCTGTGGACTCATAAATGGCAGAGAGGATGGCATTCTTGATATCACCTAAACTCATTTTTAAGAAGGTTTGTATTTTTTCACTGCCTTCATCTGAGCAGTATCTTTTAATATGTTTCTCAATATAGCTGCTAAAAAAGGATTTTGTATAATGAAGGTATTGCCAGTAATTATCAAAGTTTTCTTCTTCTGCCAGAGAAATGAGAACGTGTTTCTCCAGGTTAGCCCTGTTCCCATTGAATGCAGGGCAGGTAGCTTGCATGTCTCCAGCAATTTTAATGATCATTTTGCCCTTTATGGTGGCAGAGATAGCAGGGGTGAGCTTGTGCCACAAAAAATCAACAAATGTTTTGATGGAGGTCGCACCTTGGCAGGAGATCTTAAAACTCATGAAGAAATCATCTTTCTTGCTTTCCAGATAGTTTACAGGATCGTTTGCTCTCTTGAATGCCTTATGCATTTCCTTAAAGCTCTTTGATGCTCTTCGAAATAGGCATAAAGACAACTCAATGTTGTATTTGCCTGTAAATGTATATCTTTCCTCAGTGGGTGCAGATTTCACTTCTTCTTCTATTATTCTTAGGATTTCATGGAAATAGCTTGTATTGTAATCACACTGTTGCCTAAGAATATTGTCGATAGTTTCATTAAATCTTGAAATAATGTGGTCAGTAGTCACATTAATGGATTCCCTATCACAGGCCTTTAATGTCCTAGTCATGAAGTTATACTTCTTATTCATTTTTACATGCTCTTCATAATTGATTTGAAATTTATCTCTAGAGTTTCTCTTCAGGATGTCCACCATGTTTATCTCCTTTTGGAAATATTCCCAAAGGATGTTTTCAGAATCTACATCAATGTCAGGTTCTGTGATTGGAGGGAGATCTGAGGATACATCACAGACCCATTTTTTCCAGAGTTGATTGAATTTCTCATGTAATTCTTCTTCACTTAATTCTTTACCCTTTACAGTTAAAGCCAACTTTCTGCTTCTTTCCAGTAATTCATTTTCATAACTTGTCTTTTTCTTATCCAGCCTTTCTTGATTTTTTTTGAAATGAATAAGCTCATTTGCTTTTCTTCTGGTGTCTGAAATAAGTGCCTCTTTAAGGATTATTAATTTATTTTCAAAATTTGATTTCCACTGAATCAATATTTCGCTATCTGTATCTTCAGTAAAATATTTTTCAAGCTCTTGTTTAATTGCTGTATACTTTTCTGTAACTGGAGCCTCAAATATGCTTGTTTTCAGTGCCTGAACTTTTCCATTCTGAATCTGATTGATCAACTGGTTCTGTAAGTCCAGCATGTGACTTCTCAGCTCCCAAGTCCAGTGGTTATACATGGTTTCTAGCTTGCTCATGGCCATGATTTCTCTAGTGTTCCTGAAACTGAAAATGAAGTTCTCATTTACTAAGGCTCTCCACAGATCTTGAACCCGGAATTTGACATCTGAGATCTTCATGATGCTTCCTCTGGATTCCTGTTGGGCAGTCAACAGAATTCTGCTCTTCAGTTCCTGAACATTGTGGCTATAGCGAGGATTGGGAGGGGCCATTGGGGGATTGCCATCCCACAGGTGGGCAAAATAGTAGACGTGATTATTGACATCAAACTTGATGACATCACTGAAGTGGGTGACGTTTGAGCACTCTTCCTGTTCTGCGGCTGTTACTGCCATTTCATCCAGTCTCTGCTCTAAGCACCTTCGTCCTTCCATATTTTGATCTTTAGCTGTAACTTCTCCCACATTCTGATGGACAAAGAGACAACTGGGGGAGATTTTCACTTGTTTCATCCTCAGAAAGGCTTGGACAGCTATCTGTAGGATATCTTGCATCTCTGAGGGATTCTCCCCAAAAATATTGATCAGAGTCAAGTTTCCAAGTCCAATGACAAAGGTTGCCAGCTCATTGTCCCAGTTCTGGGATTTGTTGTTGAGTTCTGGGGCCCGAAGTCCTTCTGTGTCTACAACCAGCACAAAGTCAAAGCCAAGTTCCTTTGTGAATGTCTCTTCCACCTTCAGGAGCTGCATGTAGGCCCCCCTGGTGCACCTGCCTGCACTGACTGTGAACTGCAGCCCAAAAAGGGCATTCAGCAGGGTGGACTTCCCTGAGCTCTGCAGGCCAAGGACAGAGAGAACAAACAGCTGCTTGTCTCCAAGTTTCTCTGAGATCTTGTCAAAAACAGCTGCCACCCACTTGAGAGGCACATATGAAGCATCCCCATCCATCAGCTCAATGGGAACACCAGAGATCATCAGGTCTGCAGCAATCTGAGGGAGGCAGAGAAAAAGGCTATCTCTAGTGGAGGAAGATTCTTCCAGAGCTTCATAGATCTGGCATACTTCTCTGAGTAATTGCTCAATTCCCAAGGTACAGTCATTAATCTCTGTGGAGATGGCTTCTATCTGACTTTGCCATCTTGTCAGTGAGTTGCTCTTTTGTGTCTTCTGTTTTTCAACTTGTACCTTTGACCACAAATATCTTTGGTTCTCACGTAACTTTTCCAAGTGTCCTGTTGCCAGGTTCTCACAAAAGAGACTCAGCCACTGCAAGAAGTAGAGTTTGTTGTGCATTTCTGAATTTTCTTGAAGGATTGTAAGGACAGAGAGCATGACATCATTGAGAGGAAAAGCTTTCTCCGATTTCCCTTTTCTCTCAGATGATACAGTTCTTTGTCTTTTTCACACCAAAGGTGCCATAGTTGTCCCTGGAGAGGCAGGAAGATTTCCTTTATTTGAGATAGCTTCGATTCTGCTAAAAGGGCCATTATTGTCTCTGCCTTTTCTTTGGCTTCCTTGCAGTCTCTCTGGTCTTCATCAACAAGGAACCCTTGTATTCGAGCCACCTCTGAACAGTCCTCTATGCTAACAGCAGTGCTTGAGAGGTCTAGTAAATGCTTTATGGTGGTTGTGAGCTTCTCTGTTAATAATGCCTCATTTCTATTCCTGACCCCAATTCTCACCCTTTTGCCAGTATTATTAGTCATGATGTTTTCTTTGTCATCAAGTAAGCAAATCAAAGGTATTGGTGACTCACACAGGTCTCTGACGAGTGTTTGGTTCTCTTTACTGTCATCAGAAGCTGACATGAGGATCACGATGACAGAGGAGACCTCCTGCAGGAAGGCCAGCTGCTGCTCATGCTCCCTGGCATCTCCGTGAAGATTGGTGAAGGCCACACAGTTGTCGAATCTGTCCTCACCTGCGCCCCCAGGACAGAACCAGCAGATTTCCACCACTCCCCCCATCAAGACACAGTGTTTGCTGCTTCCTCTGCAGTGTCTGTGATAAAACACATCATGTTTACGTTTACTGAGCAGAGAGTTCATGATCTGAGATTTCGAAGCAGAGAGGCCATTTCCAACTCTAATGAAGGACACAATGGGGGCAGAGACACTGCACATCGGCTGATTCTTGTGACTGTAGCTCTGGTCCTGTGGTGATTTACTTGCACCTTGCCAACTTTTCCTAATTTGCCTGAGAGACCAGAGAGAGAATTCAATCTGAGAAGTGTTGGGATTTGGCACAACAAGGGGAAGTGCATATTGGCAAATGGAAAGTTTTGCCAAAATGTATTGTCGGGTAAGATCATCTGCACAGTGAAAAATGGCCATCTGGATATCCATTGGGTGGATATGGGGCTGAGACTCAGTGGCTGAAGATTTAGTGAGATTATCACTGTCTTCAAAGACCTCTTCATATGGATCAAAAGCCTCTATTTCTTGATTGGAAGAACCAGTAGAGACCTGGTTTTCTATGTTTTCATCATCTTTGAAGACCAGATGTCTGAATCCATAGTCCAGCATCAGTAGCTTTTGTAGGAAATAGAAGGGCAGTTCCTGTTCAGATTTGGGCTGGGTGTTGTACACGGAAGTCTTGTAGATCAGGTGGAAGTCAGTTCTGCTCATCCTTTTTGGGTAGTAATGTTCTAGGTCTAGACGCTGGAGTAAGTCAAGAAAAGCCCCATTTTCTATCACCTCCTTTTTGTTGTTTTCATTATTTTGTTGTTTATAAGATTCTTTCCTTTCATGGCAGAGACTTTGCAATTGTTTTTTTACCTCATCCATTTGCAGAGAAGAGATGGTGGCCTTATAATCCCCATCAATGAGTAATCTCAACTCTTTCTCTAGATTTTCCCAGTCATGATGTGCTCCATGTTTTGTGAGGACATGTACAACTTCTGTAGACAACAATTGTCCCATGTGTTGTCTTATTAGTGCCAAGCGTTGTGTTTTCTCTTCTGGAGGAATAGCTCTGACTCCAACTGTTGCTGTCAGAGCTGTGAGCATCAGGAATGCCTGGGCTCTATACATGTGAATATTTTTGAGCTCCTGGTATTTATGTTGGACAGTTTGTATTTCATCCAGTAGGAAATTTAATTCATTGTGCCCAAGGAGATGCTGAAAGATACTGTTTGCTGACTGGTAGCCTGCAGCAGCTGCAATGGAGAGCAACAGGAGTTGCATGTCTGGCTGTTCTGCTTCTCGGAGATGATTCAAGAAGGTGCTGAGAGCTACGGTGACCTCGTATGTGGCCTTTCTTTGAGATTCCTTCACTGTTTCTGGGGACTCAGATTTGACATTAGCTACAATGAAGTTTTCTTCAATTTCTTTTAGGGTTTTAATGAATTCAGAAAATTGGGTGATTTTGATTTGCTCTTCCTCTGGCTCTGACTGTTGGATCCACTGCAGGATGGACTGTGCCTGAGGAAAGTTTGTCACTTTGTAGACATGAGGTTCTAGAAGGCTGCACAATTGAGATTTAATAAACTGAGTTTTATGAGTGGATGACTCCTTGCAAAAATTGACAGTGTTTATTAGAAAATTCTGGAGATCCCAGTCTGTGAGGCAAGTATTAATCCAAATGTCATAACTTTTTATTTTTTGACTCACTGTTTGCATGAAATCTATCAGCTTCTTTAGCTGCTCTTCAGGATCAGAAACTTCCCAAGATTTCACATCTTCTAGAAAAAGCCTCGCTTCTTTTCCAGCACTAAGTAATTCCTCTCCTTCCTGGATTTGAGCAGGGAGGCCAGTCAGTGCAGTGTAGTTGTCTTTCAGGCAGTTAGCCACCTGAAGGGGGTCCCTAAAATCACTTCTGTGATTGGAGAGGATAATGTCCCAAATGGGAACCAGCTGAAGTCCTCGGTCAATGACAGACCAGGTTTGATTGCTGGCAACAAGGCCAGCTTTCCACTGGACAATTCCTTCAGCTTCTGGTGGCCCACCTGTCTGGGCCACAGATAACTGAACTTCGGTTTGAAGGTTTTGACAAGTTCTTTTCTGAGGGGCTGTTTTTGAATGTGAGTCTGACATATTCATACTTGCAGCAACTTTAACTCCAAAGCCACTGTAGCTGCCCCTTATGTATATATCCAGGGCCTCTGCTGCCTGCTGCTTCACATCAGTCAGTTGCTCACTTTTGAAACCCTCTGCAATGGCCTTCCAGCAGTAGATTCCTCCCAGATGCACAGGGCCCTGGTTAGCATGAGAGCCAAACCTGTGGAAGAAGCTTTCAGTCCTGTGCCTCAGTAAGGGGCCTCTATCTTGGAGTATAGCCTGACTCAGAAGTTCTTCAATGCTTTTCAGTTCTTGGAGAGCAGCATTGGAAAGTTGGAGCTGATCAATGGGAAAGTGGCAGGTGGCCAGGGAGATATAGTTGAACTTGCATGAGCAGAAATAAGAGTGCTCTGAATGTGATTGGTGGGTGTCCATGGATTCTGACTGTTTGCTTTGATCCATACCACCTTCTAAACTAAATCCCCAGCCTCCACCTTTTACTGAGGAGGTTAAACTGAAGCCCATCTTCTCTATAATCTGGGTCAACATGGCTTGTTCTTGGAAAGATGTAAATTCCTTTGTTTCTATCCATGTGCCCTGCTCTGGACCAAAGAGTGAGAATTCCCTGGGGACACTGAGTAGCTCTTCTCTCCTTTCTATCAGGTCTCTTTGGTGGCTGGTCTTGTAAATTCCCTGCAGGGCCAGTCCTCCAGAGGCCCATCTTACCAGATCTCTGTCTGGGAGGTTTTGCCTGTGGGCCAGTGTCTGCTCCATGTGACTGAGATGTCCCTGCATGTCCTCAGTGACTTCTCTTAGGGGCACTTCAGGCAGGGGCCAGCACTCCTCAGGGATCTCCAGTGCCTGTCTCAGCTCTGCTTCTTTCCTTCTCACTGCCTCTTCTTGTCTGTGCTTCCCCTCTGACTGCAAGTCCCTCAGCGCATGAAGTGCCTGTTCTGCCTGCCTCTGCCTTTTCTTCATCCTCTCCCCGGGAGACTCCTGCAACCCTGGAGGACTCATTGACTGAGAGAGGTCAAACAGCTTCTCCAGAGCCACCTTCTCCCATGGGTGTTGTGCCTGGGATTTCAGCTTCTGGAGGTCTTTTTCTTTTAAGTTGCTTAAGGGCTGGTCACAGATCACAGCCAGGTGTTCCTCAAATTTAGGCAGCCAGGATTCAGCAGACAATCCCACTTCTGCTAGCATCTCCTGGAGGTTTTGCCTGTTTTTGCCTCTGAGCTGAGGCTCATTAGCGCTGTCATCTCCTGTGGCCATCTCTGTGTGAAAATCAGACAGATTTTGTCAGTTTCTGACCTTGGGAAGAGTCAGCTGCATGGTCAAAGAGTGAACTATTAATGTTTCAAGTCTGTTTGTCTTTTTCTATCTCCCTTAGTTATTCCATGATATTTTAAAAACAACTTTTTAATGTGTGAAATCTATCAATGTGGGTGTTCCCAACATGGATTGTCTTTTTAGATGCTGTGGCAAGTTGCCACTTTGCCTGATTTTTGCACTTCCTTTTGCAGAGAATCTGTTACTTTGAGGCCATTAACCTGAGGGATGGTGTTTGAAAATATGTAAGAGTTTGCTTGGTTGATGCTTTTTTTTTTTGGTCTTTTTGAGACAGGGTCTCCCTGTAGCCCCAGCTGTCCTGGAACTCACTATGTAGGCCAGGCTGGACTTGAACTCACAGAAATCCGCCTGCCTCTGCCTCCCAAGTGCTGGGATTAAAGACGTGCACCACCACACCCGGCCCAGTTGATGCTTTTTGAAAGAACTGATATCATCGGTTGATTATCTTTTCTCTATTACTATTAGTTCATGTGAAACCTGTGTTGACTGGTTCCAGTCCTGTTTCTCTGCCCACCTTTTTTTTTTTCCTTTGAGACAGGGTCTTGATATATAGCTGACCTGAAACTTGCTATTTAGCCCAGGCTGGGCTCCAACTCATGATTTTCCTTCCTTTGCCTCCTAAGTGCTGGGATTATGAGTGTACACCACCCTGCCTGGCTCTGTCACTTCTTTGTAGGCCATCTCGCAATATTAATTTTCTCTCCTGCATTTAGATATAGTACTAACTTAGTTTTCATCAGTTGCTCTTACTCTTCATCTTCCCTTTGTTAATATCATCTTTGTATTACATGAAAAACTGTTTACTGATGCCATCCACACCTGTGTATGTAGACCCAAGTGCTCATCTGTATCTGGTATTTCATCAGTTTTCCTGTAAATGCCTCCCTTCATTGCCTTTAGTACAGCCAACGAGAGCAGAGAGCGCATTTCAACTTCCTAGCTTATCCCAGTTTCCTTTTCTCTGATCACGTTGTCCTACTGAACTATACTACCCTATCTCCAGGCCAGTGAGTGTCCTGTTTATTTCTTCTTATACTAACATGAATTTAGTGCAGTATTTAGTTTGATTAAATCTCACTTCATTTTGTGCCCCCTGGCTATGTCTCTTCTTTAGATTGTGCCTTCTTCCTGCTGTTGTTGGATTGCAATAATGGTCAACACATTTGCTACGGTTTGAGTGTTTGTCCTCTCTAAAACTCATGTTTTTCCTTACTTGCCATTTTCTAATATTAAGATCTGAGACACTTTAAGGTGACATTAATGCTGTTATAAAAATAGAAGTTTGGTCCCATTTGTTTCTTTCACTCTGATGCTGACAGCCTGGTCTTGGATATCCCATCTTTCAGACCAGATTAAAGTATTCTGTTATGGCATCCTTAAATAGACGTAGACAAAAATTGATACCACAGAAAAATGGGGAGTGGGTTGTTGCTATAACAAAACCTGAAAATTTTAGAGGTGTCTTTGGAGGGTAATAGATTGAGGCTAGAAGAATTGGGATGTACAGGCAGGAAAGCTTGTACTTTCTTTTTAAATATTTTATTTATAATTTTTATTTTATTTTATTTTATGTGTATGAGTGTATTGCTTGCATGTGTGTAAGTGCACCTGTGTCATGCAATGCCTGAGAAGGTCAGAAGTGGGCATCGAAAAGGAACTGGAGTTACAGATGGTTGTTAGCCATCATGTGGGTGCTGAAAACCAAACCCAAGTCCTCTGCAAGAATGACCGGTACTTTTCAGTGCTGAGCCATCTCTCCTGCCCAGAAAACTCGTATTTTCATAAACGGAGTATTGAAGGGAATTCTGTTGATAGCTCAGAAGACAAGATCTGCGGGAGAAATTTGAAATTTCTGAAGAATTACTTAAATCTTGTGATCAGAATGTAAGGTGGTTAAAGCATTTCTCATGAAGTCTCAGGAGGGAATAAGAAAACAATACTGGAGGAAAGAACCTATTTGTTACACAGTAGCAAAGGACTGAACTGTGTCCTTGCCTTAGCATGAGGACTGTGTGCAAGGCAGATTTAAGAATGATTAATTAGATGATCTGGCTGAGGAACTATAGGTGGCACTGCACCCAGCTTACTACATGATTTATTCCAACTGAGTATGTTAAAATGTAAAAAGAGAAGTGACTTAAAAATATATTTACAATTAAAAGGGAAGCAGAATTTTAAGCTTTAGAAAATTGTAGCATATCAAAAGGAAAGTATAACCAAGGAGTAAAGTCATCAGTATATTTCTTTAAGAGTTCAAAGGATTACACTTCCCAGACATTAGGCTTATGCACATATAAAAAGTTAGAGAATTATTCCTCTTTGATGATTTTGTTCCTAACCAGAAAGTGCTGCTCAGATGTAAGACTTCAAATCTTGGTCTCCAATACTGTAGTGCCCACCTGTAGCTAAGGGAGACAACCAGCTATTTTTCTAAAATGATGGATAAATTTGTTTTCTCCCCCTATCTAGAAGCCTTTGAGAGGGAGCTTGACACTGATTCTAACCACTCCAACAGCTATCAAAATACCTGAAAGCAAGTCCTGAATCCATCACTCTAGAGTCCAGCCTTGGCAGACAAAAGAAAAATGAGGAGGAACCCAATAGAGGGATGCTTTTAGAAGCCCTTGTCAAGAAATTCCAATGGACTCTCATAGGAACATTTGAAAATTGCCCTGTTCCAACTTTTTTTCTGGTTCCCTGTCTGGAACTTATAATGCTAAATGCTCTTGGCTTTACTTCTCCTTTATATTTCTTATTCACGATTCAAGGACTTTCTTTCTCCCATAGAGATAAGATTTATGCAATTTAGGAGTCTTTTAGATAGACCCACTGAAGGGGTACTCCAATAGCCTCACCCTGCGTCCCTGTTCAGCATGGAAGAAGCCAGAGCAGTCTGCGACCTGATTCCCTATTGGCAATTTGGGTAACCCCTTCAGAGGATGGTGGGATAAGAATAGGAGGTAGGAATTGGCTAGGCAGTTAGGGTAAAAAGACCCCAAAGAAAAGTAGCCAATTTCTTGGCTAAAACTCACAATGTCCTTGGGCCTCTTGGCAACATACTCTGTTCCAAAGGCCAAAAATGTCAAAAATATTTGGGAGCTTTTATCTAATCCTTAAAAGATTTTAGGGAGGAGGTAGGTGCATGACCATATGGAAATAGAGCCCTACAAGCTCCTGGGACCCTGCTCATATGAATCTATAGCAGTGGTGTTAGCATACACAAGTCCCATGTGAACTCAAGCAGACAAAAACTCAGTATAGGACTGGGGAAATGGACAGCAGACCTCAATCTTAGCTGAAGAAACACTGGCAACTGATTACTGCTAGGTGAGGAAGAGCTGATCTTCCTAAAATGAGGGCCTCTAGATAAGCTGACTAGACCTCAGTAGATGAACTGGCACCGAGGAATATCTGGGGACACTAATGACACAATAGGCCTTAACACAAATGACAGAATGTATGAATTCCAGTGCACCCAGGGGGGTATGGGAAGGTGCCAGTGAGGATGGGGGTATAAACATGATTAAAATTGATTGGAATGTTCTGTATGAAATGCAGAAAAATTCAATAATTTTTTTTTAAAAATAAAAAAAAGGGAAAAAGAAAAAGAACTGATTTCTTAGCACAAATCATGGGGAAAAAAATCATAGGATAAATAATCTTATATCTGGAAAAACTGTCTCCCAAAATAAATGGGAAAATAAGACAGTGCTATATAAATGAGAACTTAGGGAGATCATCACTAGTAGACTTACACTGTAGGAAATATAAAGCGAGTCCCTCAGATTCAAGTAAAGGACACTAGGCAGCTTGAACCAATATGATGAAACAAAGAACATCGGTAGAATTAAGTCAGTTATTTAAGAAAATACAAAACACAGAGTTGTATGATTTGTTACTGTTTTTCGCTTTTTCTAAATTTTTTGTCCTTTTTGAGACAGGGTCTCCCTGTAGCCCAGCTGTCCTGGAACTCACTATGGAGACCATGCTGGCCTGGAACTCACAGAGATCCGCCTGCCTCTGCCTCCCGAGTGCTGGGACTAAAGGTGTGTGCCACCACGCCTGGCCTTTCACTTTCTTTTTTAAAAAATATTTTATTATTATTTTTTTATGTGTATGAGTATATTGCCTGCATGTATATAAGCGCACCTGTGTCATGTAATGTCCATGGAGGTCAGAAGAGGGCATCAAAACCCCTGAAACTGGAGTTATGGAAGTTGCTGGCTGCTAGGTGGGTGCCAGGATCTGAACTTGGGTCCTCTGCAAGAGCAGCCAGTGCTCTTAACTGCCAAGCCATGTATCCAGCCCCATTTTTCACTTTCTTATATGAGTGAAGGTAAAAATATGTAAAATATTATTTATAAATCTATATTAATTAGTCCATAATTTATAGAGATGTAATTTTTGACAAAATTAACCAAAATGAGAAGGATGAAGGGGTATAGGAACAGAGTTGTATCCCTTTGGAAGCTAATGTGATATTAATTAGAAGTAGATTGTTACAAGCATAAGCTGTTAAGTGTAAGCCTCAAGGGAACCAATTCAAAAACAAAACCAAACAAAAATACAGAAAAGGAAATTAGAATGGAATGAAAATGGTACCCTAAAAATGCTGAAAAATGCATTACTGAATGGAAGAATTGGGAGACAGAATGATATGATATATGTATAGCAAAATGGCAGAGAATTTATCAGTGATTATATTAATGTAAATGGCTTAAACTCTTTAGCTGATAAACAGATTGAAAGAAAGGATAAGAAAAAGATGTGCTGGGCCATGGTGGCACACACCTTTAATCCCAGCAGGTGGATCTCTGTGAGTTCAAGGCCAGCCTGGTGTACATAGTGAGTTCCTGGCCAGCTGGGGCTGCAGGGAGACCCTGTCTTGAAAAGACAAAAACAAACAAACAAGCAACAACCCA